AGTCGGATAGTTGAAAATCCCTAGCAAAAAGATCCGCGCGAAATTCCTCACGTAGTTTGAGGCAAAGGCATGAATCAACTCGATTTGCATTTCCATCGGCTGTCATGTGAATAACCTGGAATTAGTTTCTCCAAGGCAATGTTGGGTCTCACAAACCGGTGTGGGCGAAGTTGGGACGCTTTCGTGGTGTTGTTGGCGCATGGTATAATACGTGGCCAAGAGATTTGCGAATTTGCTGGTCTTTTTGGAATTCGCAGCACGTGGGAGTGACAGAACCATTAGTGCAGCAATTGTAAAACTGGTAATCAGTCATCAGAGGTCGGAGATGCAGGCCATCGACGAGATGGGTGCTCTATATTGCAAAGAATATCGAAGGTACAGGGACTATCCTTTCGGCAGCTGTTGCTTGAGGTAAGCGTTAGATAAAACTGCGGATTTGGCACCAGAAGATCGGAGAACTGGTTGAAACTGGTCCAGAAAGCGGTCAAAGATCTTTCACCTTCCTGTATAATTCAGGCAAGGTAGGTTCGGCAGGCGAAGAGCAAGCTATGACCAGAAGAAAGTTTGTCGAACTGAAGAATTTATAAGGTCTGATAAAATCTTTTACGCGGCAGAGGCAAGTGAATTTTCAATTCTTCGGTTCCTTGACTTATTGGGATGGCATTTTGTTCTTTGGCAAGCAGCGGCCAAACCATTGATAAGTCCGAGAGTTTCTTCTTGGCGACATACGGCGGCCGATCGTGACAAAACGGGTCATCCACCAGATGTGAGAGTGCTTCTATTTATATTATTGAGATGGTAGACAAGAAACACACTCTTTACATTTTCATATCTTTAGATAATCATTCATAACGGGTGATCCGGTTACAAGTATGAGTCAAGGGTGGCTGTGGCGCAGCCATTTTTGCATCCGTATGCCTATGCTGAGCGTCTGGGGAGTAGTATACATGTTGCGATGTTAGCGAATATTGGTAGATACGCCCGAGCAACTTCGACTTTTATGTCGGAGATAAATTAGTGGCGAAGGATCGTTTCCGTCTGATGTGCGGCTGAGCGGTGGTAAGCGGATCGTAAAGAGTGTGTTCTGGCTCTAACGCATCTCAATAATATAAATAGAAGCACCTCTCACATCTGGTGGATGACCCGTTTTGTCACGATCGCCGTCCCGTATGTCGCAAGAAGAAACTCTCGGACTTATCAATGGTTTGGCCGCTGTTGCTAAAGAACAAAATGCATCCAATAAGTCAAGAACCGAAGAATTGAAATCACTTGCCTCTGCCGTAAAAGATTTATCCGACCTTATAAATCTTCAGTCGCAAACTTCTTCTGGTCATGCTGCTCTTCGCCTGCCGAACCTTACACTGCCTGAATATACAGGAATTGAAGATCTTGACCGTTTTCTGGACCAGTTCAACCAGGTTCTCCGATCTTCTGGTGCAAATCCGCAGTTTTATCTAACGTACCTCAAGCAACAGTGCCGAAAGGATAGCCGTGCCTTCGATATTCTTTGCAATTATGAGAGCACTCATCTCGTCCGATTGCCTGCATCTCCGACCTCTGATGACTATTACCAGTTTTACAATGCTGCACTAATGGTTCTCCACTCCCAACGTGGAATTCCAAAAGACCAGCAAATTCGCAATCTCTTGGCCACGTATTATACCATGCGCCAACAACACCACGAAAGCGTCTCCAACTTCGCACACCGGTTTTGTGAGACCCAACATTCCTTGGAGAAACTAATTCCAGGTATTCACATGACAGCCGATGGAAATGAAATCGAGTTGATTCATGCCTTTGCCCTCAAACTACGTGAGGATATTTCGCGGGATCTTTTTGCTAGGGATTTCAACTATCCGACTTTAATGGCCCTGATTGAAGCTGCCAAACGATACGAGACCAAAACTACTTCAATCGCAGTTGACGAGCCTATTTCTACAGCCAATGCTTTACCCGTTACGCCTGTTCCTGCCTACCCAAGAAAAGCACCTGCACACAGTCAAGAAGCAACACCAAAACCTTCAGGTGAACTTTGCTTTCAATATAATAAATATCCCCGTGCCTTTTGTGAACTTTCTAATGGTAGATGTAAGAAAGGTTATATTCATAAGTGCACTAAATGTGGTCGCTTTAATTGTAAAGCTGTTCGTCATAATAGGACCAAGGCTATTTCGCATTATAATTCTGTTGAACCTAACTCACTCCATACGCATATTGCTAAGGTGGAACCGTCTGTCGATTCTGATACGACTTCTTTATTGAAATCTATCCACTCATTATTGCTCACGAGTAAAGAACATGTTGCACCGCCCAACGATGAGGCCGTCCCTCCCAAAGGGGGTTCGCAAGACAATGTTTATAGCATGCCTGCCATAAGTTTAGCTCCAGATAGTGTCACAATTTCTAATTTAGATCTTGCGAACCGTAATATTTTATGGTGTTCTGTTTCGTCAGCTGGGGTTTCTCTCCCTTTGCCTCTCGACACTTGCTGCTCAGTGTCTTTAGTTAGCAAAGCGCACGCTGATAAAGTTCTTGAAACACGCCCTGACCTCAAGTTTTCGCGCTTAGAGCAGCCCGTTAAGGTCTCTGTTGCCAGTCCCTCGGCCTCTCTTAAAGCCGTAGGTATAATGCAAGTTCCCTTGCAATTCGAAAATGGGCGTTCTGCAACTTTTTCTATGCTTGTCGTGCCAAATTTATCTTGGCCGGTACTTTTTGGCCAAAATCATTTACGCAAGACCGATGCCCGTATTAATTCTCGTGCTCTAACTGTATACTTTGCCGATAAAGGGTTAGAATTCGAAGTCAAGTGTCACGATTCTAATCCTATTCATGCATTTCCACATTTGCATTTTCCTACAAGTAGTTTTACTTCTACTGCTAATGTTACATGTTTGTTGACTGCCCTACCAACACAGCCAGGTGAACCTGTTCGCCTCCACAGGGGCTTTAATTTTGTTACTGTTTGCATGTTGCTTGCAACATCGCTGGTGGGTTCCTCCCTATTTTCGGCTTCGGGTGACCTTTGGCTGGAAGGTAATAAAATATTACCGGGGGTCACTACCCTTAGTGGTCCTATTTCCCTTTCTGGGTTACCGAGCATGACAAATTTGTGCACTTCTGTCATGTCCCCTTTTTTGGCTTCCAGCTACCCAAAATGTCGGCCTAGTCGCCCAGTTCGCTCTGATGTTGGTTCGCAGACAACTTGTTTACTGACGTCAATATCGCCCGTTTCAGAAACTTTAGTGGATAGTACACTGAGTAGTGAATCTTTGTACTCAACAACGGTTGTTATTCACTCTAATAAAGAGTCTGCGATTTTGCCATTAAATGTCTCGATCGGAAACATTAGGCCTGTATTGAGCACTGATACTAATGTGTTAGAAGATGCCGCAGACTTTACTGCTTCTCAGGTAGCAAACCAATGGTATTCATTAGTTTCTGCAACCCATGCCGCCCGCCGTAATATCGATGCCCTCCCGACCTTAGATCCTGATAAGATCGTTAATGGCGGTCATGCTATTCACACCTCTAACTTGCAGGAAATGGCACAGGATAATCTAGCCTTTGATTCGTCTTTTCTGTCGCCGTATTTAGAATGTACCGAGCGTCATCAGGCTAATTCATTTTCTCCAATAGGAAAAAGCAATATCCAGCCGCATTCTGAGGAATATTTTGGCAAACTTTTACATGCCTTAGAACTTGACGCGCCATCGTATGCACATGTGCCGCGTAGCATTTTAACGCAATTCAAGTCCTTGTTGCATGACTTCCAACATGTTTTTCATTTGCCTGACTCACCTCTGTCTACCATTAAGGGCGTTTATCATCATATTCCTACTGGGGATTCTCCTCCTGTCTATCGCCTTCCTTATCGCAAAAGCCCCGACACAACACCGTCTGATATTTCTCCTTTAGCTACAGTCGAGCACGTAGACTCGTCACAGGAAAGTGTCACTCCAGTACACCCTGCTTCCCCAAATAAGGACTTAGCCGATGTGGCATTTCGATTAGGAACGTTTTTAGAGTGTAAACCCTCCAAGTCCGCTGTAGCATCAGAAGCATGTAAATTTCTTTACGAGTCGTTCCCACCTAGTAGAGAAATCCTAGCTAAACATGGGCGACTCCGTGGTCTTGTTAAGTCATGTCAGTTCCTACATTTAGAAGGTGCTCCACACGGGGGCATCTATGTTCTCTCATTGGATGTAGACAAATTTTCTCGTTTACGTCGTTAACATGGATATTGTCGCTTTCAGTATGTTTTTCTTAATTAACGTTAACGCAAAAAAATAAATTGTAAAAAAAATACGTATGTTGTATTTTTTTTAAATAAGAAGGGGGAGGATGTAGTAGGACGCTCCCGAGATCACATGACCTTTTATAATCACGTGACAAGTACTATTTAATCCGAAGCTTTGTAAAGCGTAGTTCAGTTATCTTCGTATCCTCGTTCAGTTAAGTTATAAATCTTGAATGATTATCAAGATATGAAAATGTAAAGAGTGTGTTTCCTTGCTCTACCATCTCAATAATATAAATAGAAGCACCTCTCACACAATCAGAAGGAACACTAACAAAACTTAGGTTTTGTTGGAGCCCAAGAGAATCACTCAAACTTGTTTATACATTTACAGGGAGGTCCATCTGTAGTTATCAAAATTCACCTAACAATATCCAAAACAAATTTAAAACAGACCCCAAAGATATCATCTAAAAAGTGTTGATAAGACCCACAAATATAAAAAAAAAACTTTATGTTGAGCACATAAGAGACAAGTAAGCATAGAATATAAGATAGAACAATAATAATCAGTTTAAACAAATCTGTTGTTTTTATTTCTGTTATTGATATTGTTATGTGGTAGTTGAATCCATAATTATTAAAAAGGTATCAAGCCCCTCCATCAGAAAGTTTCTTGTACACTACTGCCTGAAAGCTTTTAAGGTTTTAATTATACAAATGGGATTGTTGAGAACAATTGAAAGCATTCTAATCAACATACATAAAACCTTTTTCCTGCAGCCTTGTCTGCATTGTAGACGAGCACTCAGTCACATATACATTTCTAAAGTAAGGTGCAGCTATTTTGGTAACCATGCCATCACCAGCACCAAGATCAAGCATTGATTTGTTTGTACAGCTCTCATCAATCTGTGTCAAATTCCTAAATTGTTCATGTGAATAAACAAACATCTTCCCACGATCTAAAAGGCTGAAAATGGATTATAGTTAATATAAACACAGAAAATTCCAATTTAGAAAGTTTATGAATGTTTGTACCATGTGAATTAAATACTAATTATTTATTGATGCATACTGGCATTTCAAAGCTTCCAAAATCATCTTTAAAATTTGAAATTTGTGCTCAATTCATGTTTGGTATTTTCACAAAGTTGACAACTGTGGTCCCCATTATGAACAAGGTGGTGCAATACGCATAGAATGTAGTTTTGCGCACAGCACCTAAAAACAAAAAAACCAAGAAACAAACCCATTTATGGTTGTAGCTGAAACCATGAATCCTAAAAAAAGCTTTACCAAAGAGTGGAACAACTGTGTAAAAACCCATCCTGACTTTTCAATGCAAGATAAAAGGAATGTCTCTGTTTCCTCATCCAAATGACTTTGTACAAACTTGTTCTGCAATGGCCTTTGTAGCTTGTGTATATCAATGCTGTACCACTATAAAAATAGCACATTAAGTAAATAAAATAATCAGTTGGAATTTGGGCAAAAATTTGGATTATTTTGGTTTAAATTAAAAGCAGGACTTTCAATTGTTAGGAAACAGAAAAGAACCAGCAAGTAGATATGTTTTACTTTAAATGTTCTAAATGTCTCTCTGGATTTATGGAACATATTGCAAAAAGAGGTATGATTGGATTTAACAGATGTTGCAATGAACTGGTTTGTATTGCTGCTTGAATCATTAAATGAATGCTTGGCCTATTTGTGTTGCAAAGCTTTAGTAAAAAATACAAGTGTTAGCATTGATGACACATGCTAATTACATATCATCCACCTCCGCAGGCAAAACTTGTAAACAGGTTAATGATGGTCATCATCATAATCATAATAATAAGAACGATCCTCAAAAATTGATTCAGACATGTGGCTGCTCATTTTTATGATTAAGTTCTCATCTACCATTAAATGACACGAGATTCTGTTCAGGACATGATGTCTGTCACGATTATCAATACTTTTGATTTGTGTGGAGGTTGTCATCAATGTTTTGCATCATCCCTACTTCATCAAGCAACTCTCTAGTGGGCCCCACTTTTCTAACAGAAAATTTCTTAAGACATTTTTTCTATCATACTGATGCCCCAGTCTCAAACAAGAAGGATAAAAAAGACAAATACATCTGTTTTAGCTTGTGGCACATATGGACATTGTTAGCTCATTGACTCATCAGACCTCACCAATACCAGTTAAAGTCAAACTTCCCTGTCAAATTCTGCCTTCAACTTTTTAGCAACTTAAAGTACAGATAAAAGCCATATTTATTATGTGCCTAGAGAACAGCCAGTCCATTTTCAGGCACCTTAGGTTAGATTTTTGAGAACCTTAAAGCACTCGTTTGAAGAAATCAGACATAGCATTTTGCAAATTTTGCTTCAGTCTCACTTATTAAAGAAAAGTGGCAACAACAGAAATAATACCATACAGTAGAATCTTGTTATAACCTACTCTGTTATTACATACTTTTTGATATAGCGTCCTGGTGTGCTTGGTCCCGGCAAATGGTGTGCTTGGTTTTAGTCAATTTTTACTTACCCTGGTTACAACGTACTTCGGATATAACGTACTTAATACACTGGTTCCTTAAAGTACCTTATAACCAGATTATACTGTAGAGTAGAGATAACAGTACTAATTAAGATAGAACAATAAAGCTCACATTGACAGCAGGTGCAAGAAGCTTGAAAATAATGAAATATCCAACTGATCTTTATAGAGTCTTTGTGACAATATATGTACAGGTTTTATTAATTCCTTTCACGTTTGAAATTTCCAAGGCAGCCCTTTATTTCATATACCTCTGAACTCTTACTATCTCATCTCTAAATCAACAGCTGAAAGCCTTGCTTTTATCGCAGTTTAGTTGTTGCCAAGTAAAAATGCCGTCAAAAATTGTCGCCAAAAGGGTGGTGAAGATGATAATTCGCTATTTAATTTTAAAAGAGCACTACCAAACATTATGGCTTCCAAGCAAAGTCAGCCTTGCCCATGGCATTTGTTAGTAGCCTGTCAATTACATTTGACGCAAACTTACGTGATCTTTACTGCCGGCATAATCTTGCTGCTGCCTTTCTTCTAACTTAGCTAACATGAATCTTGTCATGGAACTTCTTGAATATCTTGCTAACAAACTCATTTCGATAAATTCATTTATTTACATTTCATATACAAAAACGTCACTATACAAAGCATGTACTACTGCGCCACCTTATGTCTTCCCAACTCCCTTATGTAGGTTTGCATTCAAACGAGGTTTAGAAAAAGCTTTTTCAAAAAAATAAAGGCGGGAATATTTGCCAAGTGCTGGATATAACATTGTCCTCTTTAAAATATGGGCAAGCGATTGCGATCTACTATTTATTGCTCAGCAGTGAATTGTAGCAACAATAAAATTGCCAATCCAAAGTTATCTTTCCACCGATTTCCATCAGATTTGGCACGGTAAGTCGCTTTTTATGCTGCTTTTTTCTCCTAAAATTTTAGGCGGGTAAATTCTCGGTGATGAAAGACGCTGAAATGTATTACATTTAATGTAAGCGCAGCAAAATTTGCTACAAATAGTCTCCGACTTGGTTTATAAAGTATAGGCAGGGCCGTCGCGAGGCAAGCCTTGTTGGGGGGGGGGTGTGGCCTACAATATTGCTGATTAAAAAATAATTACCTGAAATTCTTAAGTTGCTGTCACAAACCTCTGCAATACATTTTCTCAATCTAACTATGTGGCATATAATTCACAAATTCATTTTGAAATGATAATAACTGACTTTGTTAATGGTTTTGCCAAATCTGTATACCGGGACGGGCAACTACCCGAGGCGAAATTTCCTATTGAGATACTATTGGGGGTGTGACATCCCCCAACACCCCCTGTTGTGATGCTCCTGGGTGCAAGTTGAATCAATTTTTTGTTGAAACTATCTGCTAAATGCTTTTTTGTAGAGGGCACAGCACTGGTAGGGCACAAAGACATACTCAGAAGACAGACTGTCTCCGGGGGGTGTCAGGGCTCATGCCATTCCCCTGGAAATGTTTTTGATTGCAAGCAATCTTCATTCGGTTGTTTATTTGACACATCCTAGATTAATCCGTCTGTTATCTCAAGTCACTTCCACAAACATACAGTCGTAGACATGAAGGTCTCTGAACCACCTAAAACATTTCTTCCACTGAGCGGACTTTACCTGAAATTTTCTATTGGGATACTATAGGGGGTGTGATGCCCCCACACCCCATGGTTGCGGTGCCCCTGGATATTTCAATGATCTGCTTCTGCAAATGTTGCTATGTAACATACCCAAATACATCTATGGTCATCTGTAACTAAACCTTTTAAAGTTACTTAGATCAGTAAAATGTCTTGGTAATAAAATGACTTTGCAATAACATATTATTCATAGAATATAATGATATATTCTAAAGGTTTTGTTTTCATTGAAAAAATTTAAATGGGACTAGCTTTTGACAGGTAATTCAAATCATATAGGTCTTCTTTAATTTTTTGTTCCATTCCAGGCCCCTTAAAATCAGAAATACAACCATCTGTGGAAAATTCAACAATCAGATTTTTACTGACCATAGCCACATGACGTCATCAATTACGTCACAATAGCTAATTTGCAAGAATGTTCCCAGGGCTTGAAATGACCACCGTCTTTCAAACATATCAAAACCATCGTCAGCTTTTTGGTTACCTAATTTGCTAGAATGTTATAATAAATTCCCTGTCTAACAGTAAAATATTGTAGGTGCATACAGAAATCCCTGACAGTAAACTTAATGCTAGGAAGGAGAAACTGGGTGTTTTGAAATAGACAATTAATCTTGCCTATCCCTGTTTTTTTTCCCAAATATACCTTCAGTGTGTCAAAATTTCTTTCTCTTTCCTTTTAGGTGTAGAGTATGGGTTCAAAATTGTCGTCGATTGGATTTGATGAATAGGACTCCTGAATATTTGAGCAAAAACTGTCACATTTGTTCCTCTCATTTTGAGCCAGAATTCTTGCCAAAATTTTGTAACACACGTACAAGACTAGCCCGCAATGCCAAGCCCACACTTTTTAATGTAACAAACCCTCCACCGCTTATCTTTTCTTTCAAAAGAGCTCCACCCTCCCGTCAAAAAGGTGAGTTTCTTTGTTTTGGAAGTGATGATATAGGATGTAGTTTTAGTTTTGTTTTTCTGTTCAGTGTATCTTTATTTTATTTTCATTTGCATTGAAGCACTTAACAAACCTTTTTTATTTTGGTTCTGGCTTGAAACTTCACAAAGGGTTTGAATATAAGATTCTTACTTCAATTTATCTTACCAAATGGAAATGTTTATCTTTACTGGCATAATGTCAGGGGGAATTTCCAGCCCCATGACTTTATCTTGTCCTAGTCCAGCAGCAACAATCTTAAAAATTTAAATATTTTCTAGCATGCATTGTTTTCTTTTAACTGCAGTTGCATAATTTGAAAATTTCCTATAGCCTATTACAAAAGCAAGCTAAAGTTGATGGTTAAAGCAATGCTTGCAGATCACACATATGGTGAGCACTTTTTTATATTTTTGAAGGTCCAATTAGTGGACATTAAAAAGTCAGAATTACTCTGTGTGGGTAGATCATGGACGATCAAGCCTTTGCTACCCAGAATCTTTTAGAGCTACAAGTCAAAGGGGCAAACAATTTTGTCACAGGTTAACATTGCCTTACTGTTGACAGCTATGCAAAATGTTTGGAAGTTGTTATGCATCAAATGGGTAACTATTGGTACTTGTTTCAAAGAGATCTGATGGAAAGGAGTAAATTCCCACTAGGTTTTAAAGAAGTTATCTCTAGCTTATACCCGAAACAAGAAATCAGTTCTTTGGTTCCTTCAGTTCCTGCCAGAAATGTTTGTTTTCCATTTTCATCAGTTTTACACAGTGGTCCTTATGCAATAGAGTGCATTAAAAAAGAGAATTGATCCTGTGATGCCAAAACAGATAACTAATGTTCTATTCCAACATACATAGCTTTTTACCAAGCTTGAGCAACATGTTTTTTGTCAAAAACTCAAAGCTTTGCATAATGTCATGACACATTGACATAGAGAGATACTGACAACCAACTCCTTTATACTGTGCAATGTCTTTGCAAGTGTCAATGGCTGATTCTATGTCCCTGGGTGATTCAAAAATTTAGCACTTCTAGCTAGCAATACTTTAAATGAAAATCTATTACTATAATATTGTATTATATTTATTTCCTAACCATGCATTCAAAAATGAGTAAGAATTAACTGAGTGGACATAGCTCATTATTTGCAGATTAAAAGTTATACAGCACAGGTATGGATATGGCATAGACATTTGAAATATAATTAGAACTAAACTGAAATACATCATAGTATGGCTCATGTAAAACTTTCCATTATTTTACTTTACCTCTAGCAAAAACAGGCCCTGAGAAAAGCAAGTGCTGACTTTGTCTTAAGGGCTTAAAGAAGAGAAGCAGTTATCCAGTCTTTGCTCAATGCTCATGGGATTTCTGGCTTCAGATAAAGCAGATATTTATATTCCACCCCCCCCCCCCGAATTTTCTTCAATAAATTGCCTAATATTTTTTAAATATGTTTCTCCCATCCTATCAAATAACTAATGTCATGTATATTTTTAGATACTGGTAGAATGTCTTTAACTTCTTTGTACAATTCTATAACAATAACCAAATGTACCTTTAGAAATCATATATTAATATTATGCCAGAAATACAATTGGGACTTTTTTAAAGAAGTTGCCCATTTATCATGGTAACAATTCACAAAGTCTCATCAAGACCATTATCTAAGGTCCTAAATGCAACCACAACAAACATTTCTGTTTTGGATTCAATGCCCTGAAGAAGAGCCTGAATAAATATGTTTTTGTGTCAACTTGAATATCTTTTCTTATATTCTCCAAGTTTTATGAAAATTGCAAACTGCTTTCTGAGCTACAATTTTTATACCTGTTATGTTCTAAACAGGGCTTTTGTATAACAAGGTTGATTATTATCTAACACAAGTAACAGAAGCATGTCTCTTTTATGTGTGACCTTCTAGTTGTGAATTGCCGGACACTTCAATACCGAAATTTTAGAATGCCCTAAATATTTCAGATTAAAGGTACCAAGCTAAGAATATGAGAAAAAACCACATTACATTTTCAAGTATCTAATATTTCTATATATAATACAAATTTAAGGTAATACTTAAATCAAATTTGGTGAAACTGAATTGTGATATTCATACTATAGGGATTTCTAGCATTTCTGCCAAAATTCTTTGAACAAAAATGAAATTTGAACATAAAAAGAAATATTTTACAAACATTCGACATATTATTAAATAAATTTTGTATTAAGGGCAAAGGCATACTTTTCATTGTCCTGCTTGTTGGTATGCCACTTAGAAATTGGCTAAGGCTAATGAATTATCTATTTTGAATAGTTTAAATGATTAATTGATATCAGGGTTGGCTAATTTGCATTATGTACTTGATATCGTTTTATGCCTCAGTTGGTCCCTTATATTCTCTTTGGTTTCTCTGATTTCCCCTAGTTTGAGCTCCTCTTGGTTCATCATGGTGTTATGAAGTTTCAGGAAAAATGGGATGAATGTCAGAAAATTTACGAAATCAATAAACCCTGAAAAAAAAGAGCTAACATTAAAATATATATATATATATACACACAGCAATTAATAATAAACAATGTGGTCATACATAAGTGATGTCACCTAGAATATCATGGTTATGTCATATACTTCCTGACCCCTATATAATTGTTGGGAATTTCATAGTACTCTCTGCAAAACATTGATTTTAAAAAGAAGAGCAAAGCAACGGAACACAATTTTCCTCTGGATATCCAGTACGTCATGTGATCACTCGTAATTAAAAAAGCATTTTCATTTTGGAGAATTACAGTAGGATTGAATACTCGGACACCCTTCCTTTCTTTCTTATTTCTTTTAACATAGTTGGAGGTAACTGAAAGCTTAGCTGACTAGTGAATTTTTGCAGAATTTTTGCAATTGCTATCAGGGCGATCCATTTTAAACTTTCTCTTATGAATAGGGGTGAAGTGAATGGATGTAAACCATCAGTTATATTTTCATACATCTTTAAACATGCTTATTTTTTAATGAATTGAACATAAAAAACAAAACAATCTTACGTAAACTGTATGCCAGAGTTACACAATCAATTCAAAAATTCGTAGCAAGGATGTACTTTAGGGTTCAAACTTCAAAGTTTTATCCAAAATCACAGCATCATTTTTAATAAAAATCACAGCACCAGTTAGAAAATTTTTTATACTCTATGGTCCTTCTTAAGTGAAACAAACTTGTCTCATAGCGGTGACAATAGGCACTTCAAACTCTACAGGATAACTGTTAACACATTATTTTGCACAGTATTATTTCTTGCATATTTCTATGAAATATGGTTGAAGAACAACAAACATTTGTTCAGTTTGTTAAATTTTGCTTTGTTAGAACCCGATTTTTAACTGTTATAGTTCCTTTATGTTGTTCTTTGCTGAAATAAAGTGCTGCATATTTATGCAGAAAACTCGATAATTCATACTTTAGATTATTCTGTCTTCAGATAACGGATCCAGTTTTTGCAGCCTCAAGTAAGTATTGCCAAAGCTATAGTTGTCCAATTTAAACATCTATAGTAGATCATTATAGCGCCTCCAACATAAAAACTGCTCAAAAACCAAACTTTTCTGAACCCAAAATTCATTTGGTTTGGCATTGCATGTGGAAGGGCTGCAAGTCGTGAGGTATCGTAAAATAGTTTTGATGAAAAGTTTCCTCGACGTAAAGCTACTGCTATCTATTAAACATTCCGTTTCGTAAAAAGACAGGCTCATTTATGTATGCATTTAAAACAGATCCGCTTTTCTACGTAACTGCAGAAAGAAAATGCTGCTTTTTTGATATTGTGTAAGCACGTGGAATGAATTTGTAAAATTGAGTGTCAGCCGAATTTCAGCAACAATATTTACCATTTGTAAATACTTTTTATAAAAACTGTAATAGTTGAACTGACTTTTTGCAACAACCTCAATTACCGGACACTGGCAAAAACAATCAAGCAACTAGCCACCTTGAAAATGGATGAAACAAAATGCGATATGGCACTGTCTGCAAATAACTGGGTATGGAAACAAGGCAAACAAAAATTGATTGCTCACCCTTGTCGTCTGTGTCTAATGATTTCATCACAGTGCGTGCAATTGTCTCATTGGTACCAACGTCTCTTCCCATTGCAGTTGCCATGATCAGCATGACTTCATCAATGTGAATCTTTTCATCGCTATCTTGATCCAACATCTCAAACAATGCCTATAAAATAAACACATTCCTCTTACTTAAAAGACTAATGGCCAGTGGTCTTTTGCCCAACTAGGTAACAGACAAGAGGGAAATTTAGCTGCTAGGATAAGCAAAGATGGTTCACGTAAGGCTATGAAAACATTAAAGGGAAACCTTAACGTAGATACATTGTGGTATTCTGACTTTATGACCAATTTAATGGGAGTTTTATCTTCCAATTCTTCAAATGCCGAGATTGATCTTTAAATTATTCTTTAATTAATCCAAAAGGTTCAGCACCTCCCCCCCCCCTTGACCCTCCTTTACGCGAGGTAAAAAATTTCATATTTTATAAGAACTAAAAGATTTTTCCGTTCATTACTTAAGATTTTTCATAAAAATAGCTTGTCAATGCATCAGAGAATCCAAACAGCATCAAAGACAATTTCCCTTAGTCTAGCTCGAAACGTAACAGTTTCTGGACTTGAACAATGAGCTTAATATGGGCTTAATATTTTCTCAGTTCAATGTTTTGAGATGAACTCAGCCCCGAAGACATTCCATTTTCCAGTTCTGCAATTTTGCTAATCCAGCGTCTAAGCAGGCAACAAACTTTAATGACAAATGGATTTAGAAAAACTTTAATTTCCTATGCAATTGATTCAAGCTTACATTAGATCATAATAAGTGCCGTTTAAAACGAAAAGAAAAGCGGGCATTGTCATTAATACTTCACTCTATAACAGACACGGTCTTTATAAACATAAATTAATAAAATATAATACCCTGTATGCCTGAAGGTGCTTTATAAGATTATGCAGATCAAGTCGCAAGCAATCATACTTTGACTCTGTTCTGCAAAAAAATGTCAAATCTGAAGTTATTTTAAAGGCATGTATTTAGGTTGAAAAACAGAAAAGAAAAATCTATTAAACAAGCTTTGAATTTTTTGAAAAAATCTGCAGTAAACCAATTACAAAAATCAGTTATCTGTATTCTATTATAGAATTAGAATGATACGAGACATTAAAGTCAAAGTATATCTGTTATGAACGCTTGGCAGTATAATAACATAAAACTGAGTTTAAAGCTTTAATTAGCTGGTTGCAGTAACATAATTCTCTTTTTCGATCAGGTTGCACCTTACTACCGTTTTTTATACATATATTTCACTGTAAGATTTTCAAAATTCAACAAACATCCTAATTTAATTTTCATAACTGTACTTATGGCAAAAAAAATTGACTAACCTGATTCCACACAAACGATCATTCAATGCACAAATTGCTACAAATTCTCTGCGATCAATGATCTTGTTCTTGTCAACATCAAAAACCTTTGGGGAGAATGACATCTAAGCAGTTAAAGGATAAGATTAAGGCCTCGTTCACACTGGAACAATAGCGTACAGTTTCAACAGCATTCTAAGTAATGAATGCTTCTTACCCTAACTCTTTAGACTTCAAAAACCTTGTAAGGTTAAGCCATAGAAGAGAAAAGCCTTGGAATCATTTATCAAGGCACCCGTGACAACCTTTCACAGCAAGTCAAATTAACAAACTTATTCTAAAAATTAAAGCAAATGTTAAAAACAATGCATAAAAATATCAAAGTTAAGTTACCTGCATCAAGCTCCTTGCATCTTTTTTTGAAATATTCGCAAAAAGTCCCCTTACAAGTTCGTTAAAAGTGACTTTGCCATTTGAGTCAAAGTCGATATCATCGAAAATTGCTTCGAAAGCCAGCCTCTGTCGCTTGCTCACAATGCTCATTGCGCTTGCGTCGTCTTCGTTGATATCAAAGCCCAAGGACTCCAAACGTAGAGGACTGCAAAAATCGACAGAATGTCACTGCGTTAGATATCAAATAAACAATTATATATACATTTGTTTCGATGAGATTTAGAACATTTCAAAGGTTAATATAATCTAGCAAAAGGCCTAGGTTATTAATGATACATAGAGATTTTCTATATCTATCAACTTTAATTTTGCCCAAGGAACCAACACAAATACGTAGAGCGACGGTTAACCATTATCAAAAAGGACAGCCTGTATTCCAGGAAGAATGGAAAAAATAGTATAAACTTAGAATTAACAAACACTAACTCATCAACTGTCTGCATGTCATACGAACTTCGTATTGTCAGTTTCCTAAAAGATATAATAACAAACAAAAAGATTCAAATCAAGTGGACTGAACATTTAAGCCAGTACTTTTAAGTGAGGTTACTCTCTTGATTTACACGACGCAGAAATCTCAAGGTGAGCGGCTTGGTTTTCAAGGAACCTTTTATAGATTGACTAGAGGGTTTAGGTATTAGATTCAGTTCAGTTGAATAGAGACACTCGGGAATTGTTTACTCGGCTTAAGAGCATTTCAGAATAAAAGTTGGCAATCGTTGATATCAAAATCCGATTCTGAACTCATTTATTAGAATTATTCATTATTTGCAAAACGAAAAACGTTTTAGATAATAAAATGCGTCTGCGTTTTGAGGACATGATTCGGTTGCGAAATTTGAATCAATGAAAACATATTTTAAAATGGGATTTTTCCCTGGTTTTCTTGGTACTTATTTATATCTTGGTACTTATTTATTTCATAATCCTAATGATTGATAATGAAGAGCGTGTTTGAGTAATTATTGTAAGATATTTTTTATTTTATTCTTGTAAAGACAGCATATATAAACCAAATCGCCTGATTGATATTAATTGAAAACATACTATTCCTGCAAGATTAAATTAAACGGACTGGGGTAGTCAAGGAGATAAATGGCCAGCAGGCTCATCGAAATTCGCAGAGAGAATGGACTTGTCAGACATACCGACTTCTATCGATAGGTTTAGTCTTTAATGCTTCTTTCTTTTCCCTGGAAATGGCAAAAATGAGTCTTGAAAATGGTAACTGAAATGAACTGTTTATTTAGATTTGCTATAAGATACAAAATGAGATTTTAACACCATCGACATAAAATACTTCGATTATCCTGATTGCTTTTCTCTACACGAATAAGCCAAGCATAGTAGTGAAGAGATCCTTGACTTTTTCGAAATTATTATTATCTTTGAAATCGATTTTGCCTTACTATGATGATCTCATATGATATCATAATTATGATCACTTTTCATGATTCACTACACTAAAAAATTTGATTTGAATGAGATGAGCCACCGTAAAATTATGAATACAGCAATATTCTGTCATTGTAATACTCCATTGCCTCTCTTTTTGACATTATTTTATATGATAAAAGTGTTTCGCTGACTGTCTAATAGAAATGATGAATGAAGTTGTATCGTATTAATCATATAATGAATAAAGGTATAAAAAAGTAGAGAAAAATTTCTTAGAATAATTGAATCTAGTTAAGACAGTTACTTAGCATGACAGCAAAAATTTCAATCTAGAAGTTGAAATTTTTCATAAATGTAACAAAATTCACAAATTCTAAAATCATTGTTCACGGTCCCGACATCCGCCCGGCACTTCTTGCAATGTAAGCAGTATTATGAAGTTAATTGTGATGGACCCCAATAACATACAAACTGTGAAGCCCGTATACGGCTATATTGAACTGATTGCACTTGTAAAAATCGTTGCAAATAAATGCAACTGGAATTCTAGAAATTGAAATTAAATGCCGGAAAGTTACCCTAATTGGGTTTCCTCGTTCGAGGTGTTGGTACCCCGATCTTCGCGGGTCTTATTTTGGTCACCAGGCCCTCCAAGTCTCTAGAACAAAGAATTTGCTAATAAATCATGGAGAATATCATAAAATATGATGTAAAAACTTTCGTAGAGCATCAATGAACTCATTCATCAGCAAACACGTCGATGTTCAAATCAATTTATTTGTCAAGATATCAACAAAAAATCTACACACCTTTCTCACAGGGCTGTTAGGGCGAGAAAAATTGGTTCTGCAACAGAGAAAAGATAATAATGCCAAATGAGACATATTCCAAGATTTTCATGGTGTCTGCACAAGAACGTTGTCATAACAAATTACACAGTTTAGAGTAAATATTTAGCGTTTTATTTGTACTGATAGTACCGGGTTTCCGAAATTTAGAATAATAAACAATGGTAATAATGTATTCATAAGCTATAGAATGAAATTGTAAAAAAAGATCCAACCTGAACGAGTGTAAAAGGGCGATTAAGAGTGATTGAAAACTAATTTTACACTCGACCACTTTGGATTTCTCTCAAAATATTTTATTCCCAGCAAAAGCTATCTAAAGATATGATTACTATCAAAACATCAAAAACATAGTAAATTAAATTCGAAAATTGCGAAATTGAGAGATATAAACTTTTGACAAATAATTACCTAAAATCGACACCAGCGGCCCGCAGATGCCGATTGCCTGACAACTGCGATGATGCACTACTATTTGCATGTCTGAAACACAAGAAGGTAAAAGAAATATATAAATTGATTTCGTTTTATTTTGCCAAAATGTATTCATTCTTCAGTTAGTTTTGTCATACTTTCTGGTTTTGTATTATTAACACAAAACATACACTTTTTGGTGTATAGAACAGGACGGCTACTCCGAGTAAGTTGCTAATCCGAGTTTCATGCTTAATGCGATCATCAGGCAACCTACACAAAATGTATGTGGTCATCTAACAAATGAAATTCAAGTTAAAATAGAGACATCGCCTACCTTTTACACAATGCTGAACTTCTTGTTTTCCTATAACTAGCTTCTTGTATACGGGCTTTCTCCAAGTCAGTTAGCTGATACCTACAGAGGTTGGAGTCAGTTAGAGATTTGGCATAAGCTTTATGTGAGAAGCAGCATTCACAAAAGATGAATCCTAAATTCCCGGCTGGTATACCTGTACAGCAAATGCACCAGTTAGACTGATCACATAAGATTGGTTTTTGTTTTTAGAGCTTCAGTTTCACAGCTGATCATGCTACGATCGCATTGGTTTAAAAGAATGCTAAGATTGCACTGAAGAACGTCAAAAAACCTTGGTGGTACCGAACTGGGATGCAGAAAATAGAGTTAAAAGACAAATGGATTTAAAAGATTTTAAAAAACTATCAACATCTTGAAACAGAAATCAAAATTCTTTAAACAAAGGAAATTTAGAGGAAAGAATTAAAAAATGTTTACATTAATGTCCACAGAACAACATGGAAAGTGATGATAATTTAACACGGTCAAATGAAGAGGAACTGAATTCCTGACAGAAGTGATTCTAAGAATTGTGCTTGCGGCTTCGTGAGAGTTCACTGTGAGGCTTTGCTATAAGACGATGATACATGGAAAGCTCTGAGAAAATTCATTCAAAAATTAATAGAAATGCTTCGCACCTCTGACTCATATTAGCACTCCGCCCGGACATGTAGTAAAGCATATCGATTCTGTGAGGAACAACCTGAAATAAAAGGGGCATGAATTCACTATAGAAATGTTTCATTTCATGTGCTTTGTGATATGTCGAGAATGTTAAGGTAAGCATGAAAAAAACGAATGAACACTAAGAATGCTAAGTACTAATTTGTATTTTGCAAAACTTTGAAACGTAAGACATTTAATCACCTAACCTGTGCTAAACGCTTCATGGACTTAACTTTATCGATTGAATTTTTTTCCTCTTCGTGTCTACGTTGTTGTGAGGAAGGCTGTAGCCTGTCGCAGGAAGTAAACAGAAAAATTAATTGATGCATTGGGAAATAATGCAAATATAAAACACCCTTCGTCTAAGCCACTGAAATCTTGAAATACGGAACGGCTCTATTACCCGTTGGTATAAGCTAGGGGGAAATCTAAAATTATCCCAGCAATTTTCATTATTTACCGTAAAACAGCCATACAGCAATGAAACATCACGGTAAAATTTTTTGCCATAATAAGCAGCAGAAGTCTTAGAAAACTTCAATTTAAAGGCAAACGTTTAAGTTTGTAATGTTGATATGGATGAGCTTTGTTTGCAGGAAATGCAGAATCAAAGGGCGCGGCCAAGAGTTTTCTGGGAACATAAGCCACCTCTAAACAGTATTACTTTATACTCTGTTGCACAAAAGCAAACGCTAATTCAAATTAAACAATGCAAATGAATTATAAATACGGTTCAGAATAGTGGAACCTGAGCTAATTTCCAAAAGTTTGTTATCTTTACTGGCTAGGATTCTTCGAAAAATCCAGCTGTATCTTCAATTGTAAGACAGGGAATTTACCTTTGTTGCGTTCCAAGCTGTGAAATCGCTCTACGCACCTGATGGAATAAGAAGAAATATCAGGTGATGTGTGAAAGTAGAGAATGTGTTACTGAGGTTATCGACAATGGCAGTGTTATTGTGGTCTACAACTAAAAATTTGCCCTCTCCCTCAAACAGATGTCCTCTCCATCATCTTTTTTAGCAAGGAGGTGTTAGGTAAGTTTCTTGGAAAACGTTGAGCAAAAAACATGGATGTGGGTGGGTATGAAGGGCGATGAACAATGTCTCCTTGCATCTTGGCATAAAAACTCCACTCAAAACCTAATTCCATTTCAATTTTTTTAGATATTTTACAGGGTGCACTGTGCTAACTACAAGGAAAAAAACAGAAGATTAAAGAAGACATCAACAAACTAGCAAAGTTTTTAACTTACAAAGCTTTGATGATGGTCAACGTTCATTGGATTCTTTCCATAACTGGTGGCAGCCAGAAACCCTTTGGTCGGAGTGGTGGTTCTTCTTTTGGAATCTCGGCTGACAAAGATTTCAACACAGTTAAATTTTGAATCAACAACTCTATAGAGATCACATACCTAGGCAGTAAAAATGAACAAAATCAAGGGGTTGCCACTTACCTTTTGAAAAGGACATCATTTATTTCATAGGCCTAAAATGAACAGTTAGGTCTTAAAAAACATCGTTTGTAGCTTGAAATACATTTATTTATAGGGTGATCATTTAGGAACATAAGAGTCTTTCAACATGACAAAAAATAATACTGAAACTATAACAAATAGATACCGTATGATAAAAATGGTGAAGAGGCATGAGCAGCCCTCCTGTTTTGACATCAAAACAATGGAACAAACTTTTCTATTCCTGTGTGAACTCTAACTTCACAAAAGTTACAGTACACTTGTGACTTGCCCTTAAATTCAGACCATATGTAGTATAGAATGGACAAAATCATAAACAGAGCCAAGATGTATTATCTTATCCCAGTTAAACAATTAGTTGTTTCAGTTGAACCTGTCAAAAAGATGATTCTTAAATGCTGATTTCAACGAACAACCAAGTTGCCAGCATTTATAATCAGTGGTTATGTTTTCAGTTTAAGTGCATGCATAAAAGGTTTATCTGTCTGAATTTTCCAGATATTTTTATTTTGAGAAATAAATCAGTTAGTACCTCTCTAATTCACAAACAATATAGATACCTCAGAAGAATATGTGTCAAAGCTAAAGCCATGGATGTCACTTAAGGCTGAACTGCATCTTGAATGATAGCCACCTATGCTGGGATCTCTGTATGTAATATTAGGCTGCAGTGGGTCAATTGGGTTTATTGGTGTTGCAGCTCTCAAATCTTTAGCAAAGCTTTCTGTGAGTTCATCTAAATCTTCTTTAGAGTCCATTACACTGGAACAAAATAGGGGGGAAATGAAAAACAGCAACAAAATGATTGCCATTGAGGTAAGTCTGCATTTAAATAAACTTTGCCATGCCAATGAAATACCCTGCATATTTATGTTTGTCATAGTCTTCATGTTAATGTAAGGTTGTGTCAATGCCAAACAAGAAAGGTACCCTGGTGCCAGGCCTTTTTAAATGCCAGGGATCACTCGCTGTCATGTCAGCGCTAGTGCAAACCCAACCATGTTATCATTTAAGAGAATTATAATGTTTTGGAAGTGAACACATTTCCAGTCATCCTTTGTGACCCAAGAAAGTTATATAGACAATATAAAGCCTGTAAATCAAAACACAGAAAAGTAGCTGAATTAATAACATCTCAGCAAAAAATTGCAATTGAATATCAGATCTATGACAAGTGTCTATGAATACTTTAGGCATATAGCATTTGAACCTAACTATGAATATTATCAGTGGTGGATTCAAGGGGGAGCAACTAGGGGCAGTTGCCCCTCCCTCATCAATTTGAAGCAAGTCTGGCACCCTATTTTGGAAACTGATTTATAGGTCAATTTACTTCAAGGATCACCTCAAAATACACAACAATTATTGTGAAAATTCCCTTACAAAGTGAATAGAGAGCCTTCTGTCAGTAGTTAAGGTCTGAAATTGTTGTATACAGCGTACACTAGTCACCAATTTCTAAAAATCTTTCAGCGCCCCCACTACCAACTGCCCCTCCTTCAAATTTGCTCTGGATCCAGCCCCGAAACACTATTAGGCATTTTTTAAAAAAGGTTTGGTACAACATTGTGGGAACCATTCTGCAACGCACTATCTGACCTTTATGATATTTATGGCAATGAATTTAGGCCTAAAGATCTTCAGCATACGCTCAGGTTTTATTTTGGCATTCATCATGCAAACCAATAAAAAATAATTCGCTTACATAAAAATACTGTTAGTTGGCATGCCAAACATGAAGCCATGTACATAATTAATATGAAAAAAAATAAAGACCCATACACCACAGTTTTCTCTATGAACCATATTTTTCTTTGACTGGTGTACAATATTTACAGTTTTACTACCTGTGCATATTTTCAGATAATTGAAACAAATGTCCTGTTGGGCCTTCGGCATTCAGTTGACATGAAATGTACCCTGGTGATTGCTCAGGCAAAACAAATCTCAAGAGCCCTTGCCCAGCTACTTCTTAGGAAAAGGCCTGCCTTGGGCACAAAATTGGTACAGTGTCATATTAGTAGGGAGGATATTGGATAATGGAACTGGCATGAATATAGCTGAAGAATATGAACACACATATACACCAAGTGAAAAAACTACTGTACATTCCCATTTTTTAAATCTTAATAAATAACAGTAATTGCTAATACAATAATAGTAATACGCCAACTTCAGATCAGTGAAGGTAGTTGAACAACCTCTCTACTAGGAAATTGCCTTCCTTAGAACCAAAAGTGAGTCTTCCTTGGGCTCCACACAGCACTCCAGAGTCTTTAAACCACTGTAAGGTCCGTGTAAAAATTATTAGATCCTTCATTTCGTTAAAAATTTTGCTGCTCTCTTTGGTTTAGTGATGTGTGATCGGGTAGCTTATTCTTTGTTTGTGGTTTAAATCTGTCAAGCGGAGGGATCTTTAAAATAGTTCATGGTATCTTTAAAATTGCTACACTTACTTACCCATATCTTTATGGATCTGTTGCTTTTAGCTTGATATAGTTCAAAACAATACAATGTTTTCATTTGACATTGGGCTTCTAACAAAAATCACGCCGTGTAGTAACCAAGGTGATTGATCAGAGGTCATTCGTTTGAGCATGCGTGCTAAGCCAAATCACAGAATAAGAATAAGTGAGGGGTTCTCAGGGAGCTGCAAAATGGGAATTTCAGGCCCCTGAGGGTTCCCCACTGATCTTCCCCTAGGCTTAGAGGGTAACTGTCCGATTTAAACAATAATTTATGGCAAATACAATCAGTGGCGGATTTAAGGGGGGGGGGGGGCAACTAGGGGCAGTTGCCCCTCCCTCGACGAGCTGAAGCAAGTATGGCGCCCCTTTTTGGAAATTTTGCGCCTCTTTTGAAGAATGAAGATAAGGTGAAAAAGTTTCTGAGACCAATAGGTTAATTTGCTTCAAGGATTACTTCAAAGTTATGTTGTTTATTCCGAAAATGGATCTGAAATTGTTGTATACAGCGTTCTCTCGTCATCAGTTTTTGAAAAAATTTTCAGCGCCCCCACTACAGACTGCCCCTCCTTCAAGTTTGCTCTTGATCCGACTCTGAATAAAATTAAGTCTGCAATCGATAAGATCAGGCATTTGATTTGAGAAACTAATCTAAATTCATGCGGAAGAACCGTGTGGGATTGACGAAGGGGGATAAAGACATCCAAAAATTGATGATTTAGGGGGCTGTATAATCCATTAATGAGAGCAAGCAAGAAAGACGGTTGTAGCTAGGGAAGGGGCGTAGGGGGTGTGACACCCCCCAGTACTTCGTTTTTGGATGTCTTCGGTAGAAAATTTTACTTTTGGCGACTCTCCAAGTCTTCAGGAGGCTTTCCACTTTCGCAGGGACTACGAAAGCGGAAAGGACTACGGGCGCTTTAGCCCCACAATACTTTCCAAAATGTACTTAAAACCATACAAAAATACACTCTTTTTTATAAGAACCAGTAAATTTAAGTTCAGGCTGACTGTTCTTGATTTGTTCGAAAATCTGAGGCTGGGTTGTTCTTAATTTGTTCTTAAATTAAGAGGGTGTAAGCAGTGCTACTGCTAGCTTTCTCGCTCTAAGGAGGTGTTCAGGCCTCATTTGCCAACAGAGTGAGTGAGACAGCTTTAATTTGCTGACAAATTTGAATATTCACTGATAAAGCACCCACACATCGCTAAAAATCCTCGATTTTGAGAAAAAACGTTGTTGCAAGTTGCATTTTGCAGAAGCTCAGCCTCAGCTTGTTCTTAATTTGTTCTTAACTTGACCAGTTTTGAGGCTCGTGTTCTTATAAAATTGTTCTTATAAAAAAAAGAGAGCGTAAGCCTGCTCATGGCTTTTAGCATGTTTAGCTCCCCCAAAACTTTAGGAATATATTCCAGAGTTTTGGTCATTCTGAAGTACCCATACATATGCATTGCGACAATACATATAAACTTTTTTCTTTACATAACAAGTTTTGTAAATTATGTAGCTGTTTTGTAAGTCTTAGAATGTTACGTAGCTGTAGAAAAATCATAAATAAAAGAAAAACATTAAGAGCTACTGAGCCTTAAATCATCGAGACTTGACCAAAATTATTTGATCAAATTTGCAAATTTTCCTACAAGGTCAAACCCAATACTCACATCGGAGTCTCGTTGTGAGACATCTGGTTATATCTTCGATTTATTTTTATTGAAATATGTTATTAGTTTTATTTGCTTTTATGAGTGGGGCTCTCTCCCGATTAGTTAACCTATTTAGAGAGCTTCTCCTTAATCAATCAATCAGTCTTAAATACAATCATGTTAAGTTATTGTTCCTGTCTTTCTTAAGTTTTATCTATTTTTCTGTGTTATTGTATATTGTAAGTATTTAGTTGTGATGTTATCTTGTAGAATTGTATTTAGGATTGCTTGAAACTGAAACTGAAACTGAAACTGAATCTGAATCTGAATCTGAATCTGAATCTGAATCTGAATCTGAATCTGAATCTGAATCTGAAACTGAAACTGAAACTGAATCTGAATCTGAAACTGAAACTGAAACTGAAACTGAAACTGAATCTGAATCTGAATCTGAAACTGAAACTGAAACTGAAACTGAAACTGAAACTGAGACTGAGACTGAAACTGAGACTGAGACTGAATTTTAAATCTGATGCATACTAAATAGATAAAATAAGGTCAAACGATATTGAAAATATTTATACACTTATATTGATAAATCTGTAAGAACAGTAAAGTAGCTAGATTTCTTTTTAGCGAACATGGTATGTGTGCAAAACCGTCCCCTTAGATTTTTGTCTCAATCGGTGAGTTGTGCTTTTATTAAACATTATTTTGGTAGCCAAAAGTAACTAGATGACTTAAAGAATTCAATATATTTATCTTTTTATGTTCTTTATCTTATAGTTTACAATGAAATTTTAAAAATGGGCGTATCCATCCTTTTCTAGGGTATGGCACATCGGGGCTGCTCAATAACTACGTCATGCCTTGATGGTAGGTGGCTCAACACGGTTTTTTGGGATTCACCGTGACGATAACTAAGGGAGTGGGTGGTTCTTGATTCAAGTTCATGGCATCAGGGTAAAAAATTCCTCCCCTCACCAAAGAGAATTGCTCCCCTCCACCAAAACCACAAGTCCTACCTTTTGTTGTCTCATTCGACATAAAAACTATAAATATAGGTTCCGTCTTTACTAAACATTGGCACTTGATCTCAGCTGATGCTTATCTTAAACAAATGACACCAGACCGGTTCTAGCCCTCACCAGAAGGCCTAACCTCAAAGATCGATTGGTACACTCTAAAGTAGGCCATGAACACAAGCCGCTTCTCGAAGCATCATGCGCCTTTAACTTTAACAATATGTAAATATTACACTAGAGGCACAGTTACACCTAAGGTACGGCATCCACTGATTATTAAATTTTCACTCTTATTGCTTATATATTTATTTTGCAATTGTGATCCTGGATGCAGGATTGCGAGGGGCGCCCACGAGAAACGGACATACCGAATTAAAGCCCCGAAATACTCCTTATCTCCTTTATTCTCATTTTTCCATTTTGGATTTTACGATTTTATTCACACATTGGTCCCTTAGTTTTTACCTTCTATACCTATAAAAACACTATAACTTATAGTCACACTAAATGTTGCTTGAAAACTTATGACTGTTAACCGAGTGTGACGCTGTAAACAGGGCTATTTGGGTCAAAATGTTATTGGATATTCTTGCATATTTGGGTCTAAAATTGATCTGACTGTAACCAGCAATGTGACTTCAAGCGGAGTGACTATAGGCAGAGCCGACTCTATACTGTTTTTAATATCTCTTTTAATTTTTGTGGATGATACAGGGTGTTTTGTTTAAATTCCTTTGGGTTTTCAAGCTTGTGTGCTAGAAAAAATCTGTGTCATCGATAAATCTTTTCCAAAATATTGGCTATGCCCCATCGGGGCATTGCTCAAGTATGTCGTTCTATTGTTGTCATGAGTATGTTGGCATAGTTCGGCACAAAGGGACTCCCCAGTGTGGTACCTTGAGGGAGGTTAGCAAAATTTACCATTGCATTCTCTTTTTATAAGAACCAGTAAATTGAAATCTAGGCTGGTTGCTCTAAATATTTTCGAAAATCTGAGGCTGAATTGTTCTTAATTTGTTCTAAAACTATTAGAGTGTAAGCAATGCTATTGCACTCTAGGGAAGTGTTCAGACCTCATTCACCAACAAGCTTGAATATTCACCGAAAAAGTACCCAAACATGGCTAAAAATCCTCGCTTATGAGATAAAATGTTGTTCAAAGCTACATTTTACAATAGCTGAGCCTCAGCTTGTTTTTAATTTTTTCTTAACTTTTGACCAATTTAGACACTCGTGTTCTTATGAAATTGTTCTTATAACAAAAAGAGGGTGTAGCCGTTAAAATTATGTTTGAGAATATATATCACGATTTTTTGTATTTTATACGCAGCGGAGTAGATTCCCTATGATTTTTGATTGCATTGAGGGAAGCTTGGATACCCTCACCTTGTGAAACGCTAGTGTGTAAGGATTTTACATCTAGTGTAACGAAATAAGTTGGATGTTATGCATATCAAAAGTGTGTTGTGAAAAATGAGCGCATGCTTTTTGACTCCAAAATTGAGGGGTTCCCACACTCACTACAAACCTTTCTCTTGCTCGTCTCCCCAAGGTTAGGCTAACCCACCAGTGGACACAATAAGCAAAGGCCTAGAGGGTACGACTCACCTTAAGAATTATTTAAAATGTTACTGGAACCTAGGGCCAGTTTCCCGCATTTTCAACTTTAGCTAGGGCAAAGTTTTTCTGCAGGGTAAATATGCAGCCAGCCCCCCCCCCAACAAAAAGTGTGAAGTGACGCTCCTGTATTTACGTTGCTAGCTCCTGCGTCTAAGAAATTCTTAAAGTTGAAATACTGGAACTGTAAGCTATGTATGATTTAGGAATAATATGATTTAGATTTTGCTATACGAAAGGTAAACTTTTTTGTTTCTATGCCTGTGAAAGAGAGGCGTTGTGTTATGTGTTACACAGAAGGTTAATACGGAATAGATAAGAACACTAGTGATATTAAAGAAGGACTAGGCAACCTGAACTTAGACAGGTGATAAGAGTTCCTTTGGTTACAATCAAATCTGAATTGTTGTCGCTAGCCTGGGAAAATTGACAGCTTTGCACTTTGCAATTAAGCTGAATTTTTTATATTGGCTGGAAGAGGAAGGAGTTATTGTAATAGCTACTATGGAAGAAGTTGTCTTCTAGAAAGCAAAAATCGATTTCTTTTCAATAAAAGGGTTCAAAAGAACAGAAGGATTTTTTCACCAAGGGAAGGATGACCTTTAAACTAAAATCGTGTCAATGCTGCCATGTCGCTATTGCAAAGAGACTTTTAAAACACGCAGAGTGCTTTTGAAGTGCAAATATACTACAGCCTATCCATTCAAACCCAATAGAAAGGAAAAATGTCTGCCTCTGGTCATACATAAGTCATCTAGTTACTTTTGGCTACCAAAATAATGTTTAATAAAAGCACAACTCACCGATTGAGACAAAAATATAAGGGGACGGTTT